TTCTTACTTCTCTTTATCATTTGTTCTTACCTACTGCTGTTTATTTGTGGGTCATTAAGTCCTTATTTCTGTTCATACTTTATACTCTGAGTACCACCCTGTACATTTTAGGAACCATATTATAAATAAATAAAAGAAGCAGAACAAAATATATTACTACTATTGGAAAAGGGATAATAATTATAGATTTTAGAAAGAACCCAAGATCTATACTTATTAGAGAATTATTGTACTTATGTCAGAGAAAGCAAGCTAGGCTAAATAGTAACTGTGCTATTTTTTTAAAGACAGAATGAATCCATTAAAAATTAGCCAACAAAATGGAGATCTTACCCCTGAGAAATCTGAAGTACTCAGTCTTAGACCTCTTGAGTATTTTTGCTAACACCTTAGACCATGTTCAGAAGAACGGTATATTATATATGTGTATTATATATGAGAATTTAATTTTTTAAAGGAAATAATTGTCTCAAGATTAATAATAAATTTAAGTTAAAAATTAAGGTCAATTTGTGAAAAGTCAGTTACAAGGGTCACATAGAGTCAAAAACATAATCACATTAAAGTTTAAGATATGGAGTGAAGATAAGTCAATAAATACAAGAGTAATATCCAAAAATCTTTTGGTTTAGAAATAATTATGTTTAAAAGGTTAATAAAATGGCTGGGGTTGTAGCTCAGTGGTGGAGCACTTGCCTGGCACGTGTAAGGCACTTGGTTCCATCCTCAGCACCACATAAAAATAAAGGTATTGTGTCCATCTATAACTAAAAATTTTAAAAAAGGTTAATAAAATATTAAGATAGGACAGGTCTGAGTAAGTAGCTCAGTGGTAGAGCACTTGCTGAGCAAATGCAAGGTACTGAGTTAGATCCCTATAGTGAAAAAAAAAAGTCAGGATATATGAAGATGATAATAAAGTACTTAATGGTTTTGCAGAAAACATGTTTTATTGCATCTGCACTTGATCACATTCATATGGGAAAAACAACAAAGCATCTAACCATGAATATCCATATAAATGGATACCAGAAAAAATATGTATAAAAATAATGCACATGATGTTAGAAGAGGAAAGGAATGCACTCTATTACCTTTCAATAAATGAAATTTAAAATGTGCACAGCTGACCTCCTAAGAAAGAAAGATGACTATTGGCAATGAATGTAAATATGAAGGAATATGATTATGCTTCCATGAGAAAAACTCATTATTGTCTGTTTGAAAATACAGATGCAACCACAGTTGACTGTATGTTTGCATTATTTTAAAAAGTTTTGGGCAAATACAAGCACATATGAGACACATACATATATGCAGATATATGAGAGCCTTTGGATAATAAATTTGTACATTATTCAGCAGTGCATTAAAGATTACTTAATTCTTCTTACAACAAGTTGTGTATCCATGGCAGTCAACTTTTAATGTTATATGAATAAAAAGGAATATGTGAGATTTCTAAATCTTTTAAACCCAATACAAAATTACAGGCTATAGCATTTGAGTAATAAAGACCTCAACTCCTTAACCTACACATCCTAATTTTCTACATGAATACATTGAATTAGCATAGCCACAATTCTAATTAATACCTATTCTCTATGTTAACACAACTAAAATAAATTAATAATTAAGTTAAATATCAATATGGCCATGAGAGGAGGAAAAAATTAAAATATTTACCTTAAAACAGCTTTCTATAACTATTTATACATAAATTATAGATTTTAAATAATAAATTCAAAGCTATATCCTGTTATTTTTTTTTAATCTACTTTATTTTTGAGTAAAAGAGGACTGGCCTCTCCAGGCATAGAGTTGGAAGATCTATATTTGATTACTGAAAGAAATTTCAATATTTTCAAGCTGGAAAGTCAGGAATAGAATTAATATAAAATTTACTTTGATATAAGCTAAAATCCCAATTTAAAATGAAGTAGAGAAGTTAGGGGAAAATTTCCATCAAAATTAGGGAATCCAAAATAATTATGTATGAAAAATTAGCAAGTATTAGAAAGTCATATCCATGTTTCAAGTGTCTTCTTAAGAATCCAACAGTGCTTTATAACTATTGAGCAAGACTCTACTATTTATACTAATAAAGAAGCTTTTATTCAGCAAATAAGAAAAACGTGACATTAAAATGTGATATTAGGTCATAGGAAGAATATTTGTGTGCTATAATTATTATCATTAAATGTATTTGTTCAAATAAATTTTTTTTTAAATGTATTTTTTTTCCTTGAAAGAACATATATTCTGTGTTAAAGACACATAAACTTTATACACTTAAAATTTTGTGGGGTTTAAAACAGGAGACTGACTATACATAATATTATTTAGTAAGAAGAGTGTATAAAACTGATAGCAAAATATTACAACTTAAAGATTTGGTATAGGTTTTCTCTTATTACATAGCTGACTGTTTTAGGTCACTTCAACTTAGTCCCTAATAGAAAATGAAAGCAATTTATTAAAGCCAAATCTCCACTCCAATTTTGCTGAATGTTATAAGTTCCCTAATTTAAAACATGAAGTCTGAAGAATTTATAAGATCTAAAAGAATTCATTTTAATTACCATGGCTACTGGAAAAAACAACTTCAAACAAGCTACACCAACTGGCTGGTATGAAGAACTGCCATTGATCAACTCCTTTTCTTCATAAAAACTACAGAATTTCACTATAATTTTGTTTAAATATAAATTTAATATCACATGTCAATCATCTCACTTCCAACACTGACATCTTTCTAACAAATCAACAGTAAAGGATTTCATAGGAGTATTTTCCTATTATTTTAATTAGATGTTGTTTTTATCACCTTGTGTTAATATAGCACCTTGCTCCAAATTTGTCAACACTATACATCTTTTATTTTTAATCAAGACTCTGCTTACAGTATATGTGATTCATGACCTTATGCAGAACAATCGTTATCAGTGACCTACCACTGTAGAGACTGGGGGCTTCAGACTTATTTTACCTTTGTGTGTGTAGGGGGGTGTAACTAATATGTAGATGAATTCTATCTTCCTTCGTTAAAATAAAATTTTATAACAGCTAAAACATGTTGCCTTGAAAAGATATCTATTTTAATAAATAATCTTATATATTTGAAAAACTATACAATAACAATAAATAACCTATTTAGTCTAGTTTTCAATTTCCACTGAACAATGAGGTAAATTACACTTCAATAAGAATCTCAAAGTGATGCATAAACATGGATTTCTTGATAGAGACTTCGGCGCTATTCTAAAAATTAAAGTGTTTCTATCTGCTCAGTAGGCCTAACCTAAAAAAGAAAAAAAAAAAGAGGAGAGAGATGCATATCTTGTTCTAGGCATAGAAATAAGCACATACAATAATTATCACAAAAATAAATGTATCTGCAACACAACTGCCTGATTTGAAACACCAAGCCACGTAATTCAAACACTGGTCAGTAAAACAATATGCAAAGTTAAATTTAAAAGTTATATACAGTTCATTAGGGTTAGTTATAAAAATGAAATCTACTAAAAATAGTTATTAATAGTTATTTTAATGAAAATGTAAATCAGAGCCAGGCTGATAATTTCACACTCTGAGATACAAAATATAGTATATTTACTGTATATAGCATTGTAAATACACACATGTGAAGTGACAGGTCAAGAGTATTTCTTTAATTCAAACACTTTACTGAGCAACTTGGTCAAGCATAATTAGAATAAGATCTTATAGGTGAATAATGAAAATAACATAAGAGCAAAACTTTCATAAAGTACATTGGATCAATTTAACCACAACATAAGTTGAGGCTTATGTAAAACAATATATACTCATACAGTAAAAAAAATAAATAAAATTTCAAAAACAAAGACCTCATTAAATAATTATCAAACTGCTATTTTATTAATACCAAATTATGAATCTGGCTATGGTTCTTTATGTAATCATAAATAAATCTTTTTCAATTTCTGAACTATTTATTTGAGGTCATCATTTTCAATTTATGAACATTAGAAAACTACTTGGGCAAATCCCTCAAAAAATTATATGAATTGTAAATGACACCTAGAAAGAGAGCTGGGCTTTAATCCCTCTTTCCCTGTAGCAGCAGTGTGATAAGTGACTAGGGAGGACTGCTGTTCGTGGTGGTGCCCCCTAACGAGTACAAGAACCTTGCTTTAATAACCACTCTATGTGCAATTTGTTTTAGCATTTACACTACTGATGGTAGGAAGCAATCTTCTTTAATGGATGCTGAAAAGCTTCAGGTGAAATCTATAATTGACAAAGGCTTCATAGAAACAGGCAATTAAGAATAAAATTAACAAGAGGCTTTACAGGAAAAGCACTCAGATTTCCATATGATACTTCTTTAAGAAAATATTTAATAAAAGTTAAAATTTAAAAGAACCAGGTGTGGTGTTTCTTCCACTTTATTAACTGCTTCCTGGATATGTGTGTTTAAAAGTTGAACACAGGAAGAGTTAAACTTATTGGGTCCAGAGGAATAATCCGACTGCTAACATTATTGGGGGGGGAGGGGGGTGTGGAGTTAAGGCAAGTTCAGCACCTATTTCTTCTAAATAAAACCTGTTCGGTTTCATTTTAGTACCTCAAGTTTAATGGAGTTATATGTTGATAACAAATCAAAAGCATTCAGAATGGCAGAGCATCGGAGTAGGAGAAGAAGAAGGTACTGATTTCCCTCAAGGTTCCAGGAGCTCACACCACTCCTTAAGTGTTACTAGTTCAGAAAGTGATGCAAGCACACCCAAAATGATGGATATAAATAAGAGCAAAAGAGTGAGTAGGAAAAGAAAAAAAAAAAATGACAACTGTGCTCTTCACCCAATTCCCTCCTCTCTCCCGTCCCCACCCCCACCCCCAAGAAGTTTACCAGAGGTGACAAGTTTAATAGGGGAAGGTGTTTCTCAGGTGAGTTAATCTCTCTGCTAGTGGGATGGCGGTCGCTTGGTGGGGAAGGGGAGGGGAGAACTTACTTTGAGCAGCTTACAGCGGATCTGCGCGGAGACCATGTGGCTGTTGCGCAGGTTGCCCACCCGGAACATGAGCGTGAGTTTTCCGTCCCTCATGGAGATCACCGCGTGTTCACTAAACATGAGGGTCTCGGCGCGCTTCTTGGGTTGGGACATCTTGATGAACATGCATCCGATGAGGAAGGCATCCACGATGGAACCCAGGATGGATTGAAAGAGGAAGAGGATGATGCCCTCGGGGCACTTGTCGGTGATGTATCGGTAGCCATAGCCGATGGTGGCTTCGGTCTCAATGAAGAAGAGGAAGGCAGAGGGGAAGTTGTAGACATTGGCCACGCAAGGCGTATAGTTGCCAACGTGGGCTTTGTTCAGGTCGCCCCGAGTGTAAGCGATTACCCACCACATGGACGCCATGAAGAGCCAGGCCACGGTGTAGGTGAGGATGAAGATGAAGAGGTTCCAGCGCCACTTGAGGTCCACCAGCGTGGTGAAGAGGTCCGAGAGGTAGCGGCTTGTTTCGCTGCCCAGGTTGCCGTGCTGCACATTGCACCGGCCGTTCTTGTCCACGAACCGCTGTCGCTTCTTCTTGGGCACAAGCTGCTGCTGCGGGCCCGGCCCGTGGGGCTGCAAGCCTGAGCCGCTGGACGAGGTGGTCACTACCTGGTAATCGTCCCCAAATTTCCTTCGGATTGCAGACATAATATGGAGGGGCGAGCCAGATTCAAAAGCGAAGCGAAGGCGCAGGAGCCAAGCGCTGCAAACCAGCACCAATAAAAAGGTGGGGGTGGGGGAAGGGGCAAAAGCGGGCGCTCGTTGTGTGGGGGGCACACCCTGTAGGTAGCTGCGGTCTCTGGCCCCTGCAGAATCCTCTTCCTCCCCTGGGACGGAGGCTTTATTTCCAAGCTGAGTATTAAAACAAAAAGTGTTCTCCCGCACTCAAGGCAGGAGGGATGCAAGGACCAGAAACCCAAGTGCAATTTTGCCTCCAAGCTTTTCCAGGATCCTCTTTTCTTCCCCCACCAGCGGCATCCCGGGCCACCTCTTACCTTTCCACTGTCCTCCTGACTATCCTGCAGCGCCTCCAAACTGACTGCTTAAAATTAAGGACTTGATAGGCAAGTCCCACCCCACCTGCCAACTCCCCAGGCTGCCAAAGCTGCGTTACCTGCTTGGACCAGACCCTCCCCCCTCCCCGCTGCTACCTGATCTCTTGCCCGCCGGGACTGCTTTCGGCTGCCCCTGGCGCTCCCGCCTCCTATCTTTTAGCCAAAATCCCGCCCAAAGACATTTCTGCTGGGCAGTGGTGCAACGCCCCCTACCCACGCCCTCGTGGCTCAGAATCCCCCGCTCTGGACTCCAGAGACCTGCTCGCCTGACGTGAGCGGGCGGCTGAGTTTCCACAGGCGCCACCAGGGCCCTCGGGTGGACCCTCAAAGGCCCCCTAGCCACCCACGCTCTTAGGCGAGTGCTGAAAGCCGGGGCACTCACCCAGCGGGAGAGGGCAGGAGTCCGCACTGCAAGAGGCAGCAGCAGCCTGGCCTCGCACCCGGTGTTCGGGGCTGTTTTCCTCCTTCCCACTTTTCCTGATGTACCCTGAAGAGCTTCAATGCCGGTCCCTTAAGCTCCGCACTTCCCTGAGGGCACCACACTGTCCTCGCCAGAAGATCTTAGCGCGTTGACCCCAGGCAGGCTCAGGAGCGAGACTCTGGGTTCCTTGGCGCGGTGCCCTCCTTCCAGTCGACAGCCGTGCTGCTGGACAAGGTTGGAGCCTTGGGCTGCAGGTCAGACTTTCAGGTTGAACACTAGCGCCTCTCCAGCTTTTCCTCTGCCTCACTGTTGAACCTTTGCCTTTCCCTTCCTAGGTACCCTACTCCCTGTCCACGCCGGGGTGCAGGATGAGAGGCGCAAGCTGGGGCGGCGGGAATGAGGTGTGTGTGCTGGTGCGTGTGATCAGCTGCAGAGCCGAGTTAGCCCCGCCTGTCCCTGCCTTCCCCCGCTGCTCCACCAGCCTGAATTGCACCTCCGCGCCTCAGTTGAGCCTGCAGTGTCTGGCAGCTCAGGAAAAGCGAGCCCCTCCAATGAGAAGCGGCTCTAAATCTGCTCCCAAACGCCAGCCAACTCTCCTTCATCCCCCCCCACCCCGCCCCTGCGCGCATCAGTCAGAAAGCCCCCAACAAGCAGCAAATGCTGCTCTCTGAAAGAAAAGTACAATATGTATCTATAACTAGGGCTCTTATTTAAACGGATTCTGGGTTTGGGGATGCATCATAAACAGAGATCCCAACTGGCTCTGAGATAAAGTTGCAAAAAGCAGAGAGCCCTTAGGATGGGAACAGGAAGGAAAGGAGACACTAATAGGAATGTTTCTAGTCTTTTCCGAAATACGGTTAATGTGTGGCTGTAACTGAGGGAAGAAAGCTGGATTTTAATGGCCCTAGCCTGGCAGTTAACTTAATGGAGGGGCAAAGTGCAGAAATAGTTAATATAGTGCCCATGAGTAAATGTCGGTATGTTTATCATATTTCATGTTTGTGTTTAAAATGTCATGGTATCTAATGGCATATTTCATTCAGTCCAGATACATAAAAGTGATTTGTTGGAAAGTCATCAAATCATGTTGTTTGGAAAGCAAAGGGTCTTTGCTTTCAGGGTCTTTGGCAAGAGAAAATAAACACATAATCTTTCTATCTATAAAGTTCTCCTCTGTATCTCCCTAACCCTGGCCCTTAGTGCAGGCAAGTGCATGTCACTTCCTCCTCCATAAGTAGAGGACTCACATTGTCATTTGGCTAAAATATCTATCTCCAGTTACAGACACTTCTCCTGCAGACTCTCTGATAAGAGGTCAGTAACTCTCTGTTATTCTTTTAGGATTACATAAGAAAGGAAAGTGACACCGTGGGAAGTGAAAACTGCTCTGGTCCTGGAATCATAAGACCTGATTTGGATCCTGGTTGTGTCATGTACAAGCTGTGTGACCTTGAGCAAGTAGCTGAACAATTTTAAGCTCCATTTTTCTCCTCTAAAAAAATGATAGTTTTACATTTTCCCAGTATTGATAGAAAAAAAATAGAATGAATGTGGTTTTATTATTTCAGCTGTGACTGATGTTATATACCTGCCTGCTAAGTTTCAACAAAGCCAAGAAGAGATTGTGAATGAGTTTTGGGAGTTGACACTATGCTGTGAACTAACATATATTCCCATCTACTCTCTGACTACAACCTCACCCTAGCTCACTTTGCCCTTTACAGGTTGTCTTCTTTCAATTCCTGAAACACATCAAGGCATACTAACCCAACCCTAGGCATCTGCCCTGTTTTCTCCTCCTCCAATGTCTTTGTCCTACTACTCCATGTTGCTATTTCTTTAAGTCATTCAGCACTAAACCCAAGTGCATCTTCCTTGGGGTATCCTCCCCTAGTGTCCGAGGTACTGCTTACCACATCAACTGGGTTCATTTTCATTTTTTTTTTTTTTTACTTTTTTCTAGTTGCTGTTTTCTTCATTTGTTTGATGTCTCTCTCTCCCATCATTACCAAGTATAGAATGTAGGCTCTATGAGAGCAAGGACCCTGTCTTATTCTCTGGTATGTCCCCAATACCTAGAACAGTACTCGTCACATACTAGGTCCACAGTGTTTGTTGGATGAGTGACATGTGACAATCTATGTCACTAGAAGCCCAACATGCATTGCAGTTCTCTCCCTAGTAAATCAGAATGAAACCAGGTTACTTACATGGCTTAACATAAAAGAAATGTATACCCAAAAGAAAAGGTTAATACTTCCTATGCTCATTAGCTTCAGATTTGATATTCAATCATGTCCCAAGTCCTTTTGGTTTTGATCTAATATCTCTCAGATGATTCTCTCTCTCTCTTTAAAACATTACCAGTAACCTTTTATGCCCAAACTCAAATTATTCTCCTGACTTCATTGTCTTTCTTTCCTTCAGACTATCCTAGATAGTATTATTAAATTTATTGCCTTAAAATAATAAAGTAGCATTGAAACAAATACCAAAGTATTCTCAAGTTACTTCCATTTTCAAGATTTAAAATATTCCCTTTAAAAAAAACTGTTCCATGAAAAATATTTGTCATTTTATAACAACCAAATTTATAGACAAATAATTTTATATGTTAAAAGACATGCCTGATCCTTTCATTTTACAAATGAGCAAATTGAGGCTCTGCCATCCCTTGTCAACAGAGTTAGAAAGGAGTGGAAGATTTCTGACCCATAGCTAGGATCCCCCTCCTCTATAGGGCATGTCTCATTTATGTCCTAGCCTTGTCTTCCAGATTATTTCCTACCTTCCCTTTAATGTGTGCTCTACTCTAGCCAATTTTAATGATTAGCAATTCCCAAAATATGTCCCATATTAATTTCATTTGTTCACCTTATTTCTCATCCATTAGATGAACACCCAAATTCCCAGCACTAAAAATAAAAATTAATATATAGTCTGTATTTATATCTATCCCTGAGAAGTCCAAATTACAGTGACTAGTGTGCAAGAAAATAAAAGAATTTCATCATATTTTATTTCAATTTCTACTTCTTATCCTCCCACTAACAGCATTCTACCATTTCTCTAAACTCCCATTTTCCCAGATTTGTAATACAGCATTTTTCACATTCTGGTTGATATTTCAGCTTAGAATTCCCCAGTACTGTCCCTGTGGAAGGGAAAGCACCCTGAGCATTCCCCTGATAATGTTTTGACACCTTCATCTACTCCGGTGATCCATCTCAGTCTTGCATATGGTAAATATTTAATAGAGTTTCAAGGAGGACTAACATTTATTAAGAACCTACTTGATGTGCCAGGCAACATGCTTGGAACTTTAAGGTTAGTATGTGTATTACACAGCTAAAAATACAGTGGAGCAGGATTTCCAAAACACATCTGCTCATATCCAAGGTCTCTATTCTTTTAGACACACAGGACTGCCAGATAAGTTATATATTTTTCAAGATGCCATCATATCCCACTTTAAATGTGATTGAGGCTTTGACCTCTTTGTGACATTAAGTCCAACTCCTTGAAATTATTTACAGATGAATCGAATTCATCTTTCCCTGTGAGGACAGCTGCTTCCAGGATGAGGTTCTGGAGGGCAGCCAGCCCCATGTGCCCAGGCTAGGCGGTATGTGTAGGGTGTGCATGGCAGAAGGCCGCCTAATCAGTGCTCTCTGTTGAGCCAAGGTAAAGCACATCTCATCCTGGAAGCCTAGGTCAAAGCCGAATGGGTCAAAGCAGGGAGAGGCACACGATTTCAGGCCAGGACACTAAACCAGAAAAATATAACTGCAGAATACACAGTCATTTGGAGTCTAACATTTAAAGAGAGGGTGGTAGATTGTAAACAAACTAACAGAGTTCATGGGGGCGGGGAGACCAAAGCTATATTTAATAACAAACTACTCACATAAGAGCAAGCTACATTTTTATTCTACCTAGAAAATACTCTGGCAATGTCTTCTTTACTTTGTCCAGAATTACTAATATCATGAATAACTAACTTCAAAAATGAAGGATAAGATTTTGTATTTTCTACTAAAAAGGCATGACTTTGTACATGCACTCATCTTATTATGTAACTGAACAGTGTGGGGAAAAGAGTATTTTGAATCAAAAAGTAAAAACCTGCCCCTGAGAAGTCCAAATTCTAAAAATGACTTAATCACCCAACTGTGACAAAAGCAAGGCTTTGAACATCTCAATATACCTGGAGTCTGTATTCTCGTCATTCACTTACTGCCACAGTGACACATCATGTGACAGTCTTCATGGTCAGAAACATTAATTACTCTCAGAGGAAAATATTTTTATATTCTATTTAGGAGGTTTACTCCTAATCCTACCATTTTCCCCAAAGTATAATGCAGGGACGGACCTACCTGAAAATCTTTCATGCTTCAAAAGGTGACATGCTACCACGGCCACCATAAGTTTTTCTATATCTGGGAAGAGGTCACTCTTTGAAATTCTATATGCAATTTTAGGAAATAGAATGGTGTTCCTCTTTTTTTTAACCCTCCTAAAAAAGAATACTGAAGTTATTTTCTCTCTTGCCAAAAAAAGAAGAAAAAAAAATGAAAAGGAGGAATCAGTTTGAGATTTGATTGCACAGACTTGAGAACAGAGGCATTGCCATACCATGCCAGATGACTCATGAAACCTTTAATCTTGGCTCCAAACTCTGGCCTCTGCCTGAGGATTCAGAGAAAGGCAATAAGCCACTGTCACTTGGAGGCCATTTAGTTAGCAAGGTTTTCCCAACTTAAACTCTCTCTTTACTGCAAACCTGTACCTTAGAGTACTCTGGTATTTGAAAGAATGAGGACTTTTTAAAGAGTCTCCTGGAACTCAACATCCTTTAAGAGAAAATAATTGTTTAATCAGACCTAGAGGTTTGTTGGCAGGGCATTAAGAACAACAACAACAAAAAGTATCCAGTTCTTACCCAAGTCATGCAGTTGTACTCCTGAGGAATTAATTGTCCTTTAATAACCCCAGTGAAGACCCAGATGTCAAAACATGTACAAGAATGTTGCTTACTTAATACAATAGTCAATGTATATATACACTGGCCACTGTGTCAGTAGTTGTACAGGTCAGAAAAGAAGAAGACATCATGCCAACAACATGTATTAGCAATAATATTTAATACACAGTGGTGAATACTTACAGGAAGAGGACTGTTTTATTAGCAGTCAGAAGAATGAGTCCCTTTAGGGAACACTGCTCTAGCTTGTGGGAGTTTTCCAAACGTATCAAATTGGAATCGCTTACATTTTGTTCAGCACACAACTACCTCTGTTCAAGCTACTTTATTTCAGAACTGGGACAATAAATTTTTGATAACAAGATTTCTAAAAAGAGAAGATTTCTACACAATTAGAATAAAATTAAAAAAATAATTTGAATCCATATCTAATATTTATAAAATAGTAATGCAACTTTTATATTTTTAAAAAAATATCTTAGGTAATTAAGAAAGATTGTGTGAGTGCAGCTTGTCTGGAAAGAAGATATTAAGAAGAAGCTGGGGCGAGAGATTTCTTGGAAGGCAAAGCCTAGGACTAGTAAAAGGAAAGGAAAAGGATGAGGCAGAGAGATGCTTCAACTGGGATACAGCTGTCACACTTGTGCTATGGTTTGGATATAGTTTGAGGGTCTTTCCAAAGGGTACATGTATGTTGAAATTTAATAGCTATTGTATTCAGAGGGTGGAAACTTAACTTGATTATGGCATTTACTTTGGGAAGTGATGGGATTAGAAAAGATTATTAAGATGGGGACCTCATTGAACACTAGAGGTTCCTAAGAAGGCACAGAGACCAGAGGACCAGAGGATATAAGTACACGTGTGATCCTTGTCTTGTGATCTCTCTTTGTCATGTGATATCCTGGGCCTTTTCAGAACTCTTTTCAGCAAGACCACTATCACAAGATGCAGGCCCTTGAACCTCCAGACCTATGAGTTAACAAACCTCTTTTCTTTATTATCTTAGCCTCAAGTATGAAGTTGCAGAAACAAAGAATGGACTAGTATTCCCATATAAGAGACTCAAACTCAATGGGGAGCTTCGGAGCAGAAGTCACCAACTTTAGGCAGAGATGGCCTGGTCCTAATGGCTCCCTGAGCTGTCACTGACTGAGGGCTGCTTTTGGAAGAGCATGTATACTGCAGCAGATCTAAAAAAAAGTTCTGCAGTTAGAGATGGTCAGCTAACTACACTGAAGGATGCATTCTTCTGGAAGGGATATATTGCTATACCTCCATGGCTGTGAGACAATAGAGAAATAGAATTTATCAGTGTTGTTATAGAAGTCCTTCACAAATACCCAGAAATGCTTCTAAAATCTAACAAACTGATTATGGATGTACACACGTATCTTCTCTTTTCTCCTTGTACAGTCATTCACATGAATCCTGTTAGCAGGGGGTAGTGTGGGAAGTGTCATGGTCCGTAATCATGTTGGTCTTAGCTTTGATTGTAGCCAGGAAGAAGGTAAGAATAGACCCATTTAAGTTCCTTTATCATCTCCTGTTAGGGTCTGTAAACAAGTCAAGATGGTGCCTGGCATTTTGCCAGAGGGAGTGGTTTGTGAAGTAACGCCAGTGAGCCATTAAGTGTGGAGATTCCTTATTGGTTGACTGCTGTATCTAGTTTATGTTAATTAAGATAAGCTGTGTGTAATGTATATATACCCCTCCAGTCCTACAATAAACGGCTCCCACTCTTGCTGTATCAATGTACACAAGTTGCTCGTCACCCCCCGGGTTATTTTGCTGCAGCCGGACTGCGGCAATCTCCAATACTGTGACTGCAATGTTGAAGATTTTATGAAGGAGAAGGAGAGATGGAGTAATGGAACTGTGGGACAGTGGGGCAGGGAGGGAATAAAGAAATTGGCAAAGTAGGAAAGACCCTGGGTGACAAAGGGATGAGGAATAGGAAGTCAAGCATTTCATGGTAAGTAACCCAGGTTAAAAAAGAAGGGAAAATCATGAACAGAATGTCCTGAAACTGAATTGCTATGTTGATAGTTTCTAGCTAGCTGTACATTAGAAACACCTTTGTACTCCACTCCACATCAGTTATATCAGACTCTCTGGGGGTAAGGCTCGGGCATCAATGTTTTTCAAAAGCTCCTGTGTAGATTCTGACAGCACAGCGGGACTGAGAAACCCTGATCCATGGGAACTGCACTTCTTTCAGTGGAGGAGCTTCCCAGGAAATGTCACAGGCAGAGGTACCATCAATCTGTGTTCCCACTCCTCCCTACCCTTATCCTTTGGTACCAAAGAGAGGTAGTTTGAATTAGTAAACCCTAGTTCCAGGCTCTCTCACACATTACCTGAGTCCAACACATGTGGATGTGGATTTTGGGTAATGAGAAGATCTTTCCTCATTGAAACAGCAACCAAGCAAAGCAGGACACGCTTCACACTGACTACAATTTGAACCATTTTTACCATCTACAGTCATAAATAATGAACATGAATGGGGGGTGTTTGGGGTCAATGAGTTGTAAAACCTATAAGTGGTTTAAGTTTTTTCACTAATAAGGTTTTCACTTTCCATGTTCATATATATAAAAGTTGTGTCTTTATAATCCTTTTTTACTTCAATGCATCATACTTTCCTGAATTAAAGAAGTAGGAAATGAAGTGGAGGGATCGGGGAAGAACAGAGAAAGGGAGGAGTGAGGGAGTGAACACAAAAATTTATGTTATCTCCACAATGACTACTTATAAGCCAGTGGAAGAGCATATCACTAGATGGTCATTATGACAGACAGCCAGACAGGGATCAGCTATGTTGGTCATTTGCTTTATGTAATATAATTATTTGGAGATGGAGGAATTAAGTAGAATTATAAAAATAGAAGCAATTACTAGAAACTAAGAAGTCATTTTTACACATTCATCAGTAAAATTACTTCCAGATTTTTATCAAGAAAAACTCACAGTAATTTTCATTTAGCTTTCACTTGGGGAAGAGATAACTGTTTCAAGTTCACCTCACAAAATGACAGTACAAGTTTGCTCCCTTTCATGACTACCCAGCAGTCCACAGGTCATCTTCATGCTTCTCCAGGAAGTCATGGAAAAGACCCTCAGGACTATTGTAGGTTTGGGGTGGGAATACATTAAAATTCTCCACTTCCTTGTTATGTGGTCTCTCTTCCAACTTACAAAGTGGGTGCATGAGCAACTCAAATTTCAGGTTGAATAAGTAGGAATTATGTGTAAAAACTGATCTTGAAATAAAAGTTGTATACAATTTACTCATAAGGAATATCAATCTAGTTATTACGGTCTCATAGGTAATGTGTGATTCCAAAAGCATGTTGGATTGAAGTGATAGTAAAACTGAACAATTTCTTAAACTTAATCTATTTCCTTCTCTCATGTCTGTTTATCAGTTGGAGAGTCTATTATCTAAGCCACTCCAGTGACTGCCATAATTTTAAAAATCAGAAAGGATATCCATTAGCAATAGTGGGTGTTAGCATTGTATTGCACACATAACATAAGGAAGATTACCTGCTGTTCAATATTTACATTTCTGTATCATTTGTGTTTTGCAGCAAGCTGAAAGATCAAAAAAAAGGAACAAAATCATGGTGTGAAATAACCAAATGATGAATTCTCTTTGTATCTATGTAGAAAGAAAGTCCTTTCTGCAAAATTTTTTTAGTAAAAGCAAAGAATGGGTATGTAACAATGAGAAGAAGGAAGAGGGAGGTCAAATCCCAGTTGCAGCTGCCAGTGAAATGCATGGTCTTTTTTGCATTCCATGAGGCTGGAATTGCTGATGAAGAAATGTCCTCACATATTCTGTCAATGTCAGAATACAAACATCACTAAATAAACCTTTGTGTCAAAATGTCGCATAGTGATTATTTATGCTTCTTGACAACACTAGTGACTGACAAGCTTGCCTCTATGGCTGTGAAAGGTTGCATATCAATTGTTAGAGGTAGCAGAGATGAAGGCTATGCAGTCATCAGAATTCATATAAACTGTGCCAACTAATTATATATGTTAACAGTGGCCAACATAATAAATGCAAGTGTGATTCTCCTGAAAAAGTATTGTCTAAACAATTTGATTTAAAACATTTAACGATTAATTTACATTTTTGAATCTTTGGAATCAAATAGATATTCACACTGAAAGGAAAATGTCATTTATTTTTCCTTTTTAATTGTTCATTTTTTTATAACGTTCCTTCTTAGAATTGAATTTGGAGTCCACATGTTTAGAGAACACTGCAAATACTGAACCCTAGATAGCATATAACAAACCCCAATGACACAGTTGAAATTTCCTAGCAAAATGGATACAAAGTGATAATAAAACTGAAGAATTTCTTAAACTTAATCTAGGTGACTTATAAAGTAATTCCCTTGCTCCTGAATTCCATATTTTCTCTCGTTCCAACTTTATGCATGAGAGATAAGAGGCATGACAATGATCAATGGGACAAAAGCATGTATTATGAAAATATTTTCTCAAATCAATAAGTAATATGTGCAAGGTATTTACAAATATATTATATATTCTAAGTATTAAATAATAATTGAAGGAAATGTTTATTAGGGATAACATTTCACAGAGAACCCAGTCTATTAACCATTACAGGAACATTTGATACTGAAAACACAATTCAAAGTTACTTAAATAAGCCTGACACTTAGGATTTTGGCGAAGACCCTGATACTGCCTTGGATTCTCAAGAGTGTGAATCCTTGCTTTACACTTTCTTGCTGTGTGGTCTTACGCAAGTTAGTAACATCTCTCTCTTGGATTTTCTCATTGTTAAAATGAGATGGAAATAGCACCTACATCTGTGAGGTGGTGTGATGGAAGAATTCAATGAGAAAATCTCCATAAAGCATAGAGCCTAAGATTTGGAACAAAATATTTCCATGTTCAGTGAAAAATAAATTCAAAAATTATCTTTACATGAAAATATAATCCACATGGAGAACATCTAATTTGCTAATAAGACTATAGGTGATTTTGTACCCACAGAAATATACTAAAATTAAAACAATTAAATTAAAAGAAGTCTAATGTTTTCTCCTCCTTTATAATATTGCAGTTGTATAAATCACAAACTGTTTTCTCAATTCAACAGAAATAAGAATGTGATTGCTTTTACTCTATATGCTACCATTTTTCCATAACTCTCTTAATTTTGGCATATATGATTTTCCCCATGCTAGTCTATCTGCTCTTCATAGGCACCTGCATTCACTCTTATTCATGATATGTGTGCCTATTGATGGAAGAAGAATCCCACTTACCACCCTACCTCATTCCCTAGGAAAGCCTTACCTATATAGAATAAAAGAATTGGCCAATTGGCTGTCAACAGAAAAATAACCCTCACCTGCTCTCAACATTAAGACTACTTCAGAAGCAAAACAAGCAAAAGCTTCCTAAATTTTTCTTGTATTGGAGTATTGAAAAACTTGTTTACCAGAACACTTCTTAGGAAGTGAAATTTTGGGACTCTAGGTCATCTGAAACCTATAAGAATTGCTTGCTATTCCTTCAAGGGAGGAAGAAGGACAGGAGGAAGAGGAAGCTTCAGGAGTAGTGTGAGCTCTATGATAGGAGGGCCTTTACTCTGGGAGGTGACTTCTCCCCATAAAGTTAATCAGTCTCATGAGTGTTTCTGTAGACAATGCAAAGCTTGCACTTCACATCTATCTGATGGATGGCAAAGCCAAGACAGGGCTTGCAGGTAAAACAGTTTAAATATGAAAAGGTTCAAGAACATACAGTCCCTAAAAACATAAAGAAATCTCCTTGAGGGGTTGGATAAGGTCATAAAGTTCAAATCAATATGGGACAGTTCCATGAAGGGCAATGGGGCTCTAAGATGGCCCTTGCTTTATAATATTGATTTTGACATTTTGATTCATTTAAAAATATTTTCCTCACCAAGTCAAAGAGATCAATGACTCCACTAAATCAGCTTTTTCTCCATTAACCTTTCACTGTGCTCTGTGTGGGTTACAAGATGACAAAACTAGAAAAGAGCATTTGAAATTCAGAGATAAGGGTGGGCCAAGCTATTAAAATAACTGTGCAAATAACAATCCAGCAACACTCATAGCGTGTTTCAAATAATGACTTTAGAAACTTAAACCTACCTAACATAATAATGCACATTTAAATTGGTGCTATTTAAAGGCAAATAGCTGTACTATAAAAAGTGTCACTGATACTTCAATTCTACATGCCTTTCAAACAGTGTGAAAAGCTGTAACTCTAGTGTATGCCTCATATAAAAGCAAAGATTTATAGCAGTTGGTCATGGGTAAGCACACACACATACACACACACCCCTAAGAAACATCTTTATACATATATTGTAGATCAAAGAAGTTCATTTTCAAGAGCAAGAACACTTAAAAGTAATAAATTAGTTTTCTGATACTATTGTAATGATGAGTCAAGGGAGAGTTTGCCCCCAGAATATGTTCACCAAAATTATCTATTTTTCAATATTTATTTGCAAGAAGTTAGAATTGACTCCACTAATGCCGAAGTTACTTATAACACCTACCAATGCTAAGTAACTTCTGAACTTAGGTACCTCCTGGAAATATGATTAGGAATTAAAAAAAAATTAAATGTTCAAAACTCTTTCATAAAATGAAAGCTTATAAGGGTAAGCAGAGCTACTACTGTGGAAGCCTGGCTCTAACTTGACAATTTCCTTAT